CAAGAGTAAAATTTTAAAAAGTTGGATAGTAATTTTTTTAAGTTCTTTAACGAAGCAGTCGCTGTGAAATTATCTATTTGGAACTTAACTTAAGTGTGACACTGTTGACCTTGAAAGTAACTCAAATAAGAAAATATCAACTTGTCCCTTCCCCCTTTCCTTTTTAACGTTCTTCTTTCCACTTTCTCCCTTACTCATTACTTGCCTAACCCTACCTCTCGTATTATCTCGCTCCTCTTCCCCCTTCCTCTCACTTCATGTGATTAATTATATAAAGCTGTTTAACCATGTTCGATTTGAAAAATGAATAAATTAAAAATTATTGGTTTCATCTTAAAGAACTTAAGATTTAATTAATATTTATTTAATTTTAATTTCAATGCAAAAAAGTGTAGATGTAAATATCTTCTACTTATGCATTGCAAAATAATAAATTCCGAGGACAATTTTCCAGTATTATTGTTAATACGCAAAGTCATGCATAATATTTTCATAATTGTAAACTAGAAAGTTTCTGATTGATATTACTTTTTTCTAAAATCTTGTATTCATTATTAAAACTTGAACAGACTATTACATATGTAAGTTAAAGTTCCAAGTCCTTGAGTAATTTTGAGCACGCATTCTCAATAGAGATGGTAGATTATATGCCTACTGAAATTGCCGATATGATAATGATTTTAAGGAAATGTCATAACAATTATGCCGCTGCATCGAAACTGTACGCTGAACGGTACCGAGACCGAAGACATCCTACCGATATGACAATAAGAAACTTGTCTAAAAGAGCACATACCGGACAGCTGGTGCGCCAACGCCGACATCATCAACACGATGACAATGACGTGCAAGTATTGATTGTTCTAGCAGCTGTTCATCTTGATCCACACATTAGTACCAGGCAGATTGAAAGAGAAACAGGAATACCACAATGTACAGTCTCAACAATTTTAAGAGTCCATCACTTTCACGTTTATCACATTATTCTGACGCAAGCCACGAGACCACATCATATTTTAGCGTGTGTTAATGTCTGTAAATGGATTTTGCAAATGATAGACAGTTAGTGTATGCGTTGTTCACACTTTTCCGTTTTGAGGGTGGCACAGCGTAATCAAACATTACCACCCCTCTCTCTGAGCGCCAATAGGTTGGCATAGCCCACTGTCTTTCACTCCTTCGCTTTCAAGTACTTTGGAGATCCGGAAGTCAAGTTTGCTACGACATCCCTGACGCTCACAGTGAGTCGGAGCCTTTTTAATCTAAGGCGGCGACCTCCTCGAAAGGGAGTACCGATCTTTTCAAAGTTCGACGCTCAGGGAGGGCGGAACTAAAGGCTTGACCCTCGATTTGGGCGCGACGGGACTCTAGTTGTCCCAACGTCTACCGTGTCGGAAGCACGCAGCATACAAATCTTACGAGATTTGCTTGACCTGGTACCACTACCCTGCACAGGCCAACCCAAATTGGGATGTCAGAAGAGAGACTCAGCTAGGACAGCCAGAGCAAGTTTCTAAGACGATAAACCAGCTAAGCCTTCCCTCCTGGACTCACGTTTGAAAACATCCCACCCTGCGTACCTGTATTAAGGGATTGCTCCCACGACTCACAGGTCCATCGCTTCGACGTACCGTGGCACGTCTCCCCATTGCGTTTCGGTCGTCCCCGCTCACGCTGGTGGGTATCCGTCATTCGAAAAAGTTGTTTTCCGGTTTTCGCCCTAATTTCGGATTTCGCTTTCTATGGAATGGCTTTTATGACTGGTTGATACTGATGTTTGCTCTTTTGATTTAATATTTTTGACTTTTAGGTCAGGGCGGGGTCTCGTCTAGCCGACAAGACGATTCCCCAGGCAGTTTTCAACATTCATGCCAGTCATGCCATACATTCGAATCAAGCTCCGATATTAGGCTAAATCGGGTATTCGAACTCGCGTTCAAATGATCGAACTTCGGAGTTTAATTCTGAAGTTCGATGCTCAAAAATTATCGTTTAAAGTCAAAGCTTTGATAGCTTGCCAAAATTCAAAAATTAGATTAGTTATTGTGCAAATGATAGACAATGATCCTCATTTCTTTCAATATGTACTTTCCTCAGATGAAGCTATATTTCACAGCGATGGACAGCTCAATAGGCATAACTGTCGCTATTGGTCGAACGAAAATCCCTCCTGGTATAAAGCTTTGGACCATCAAAATCAATGGAGTCTAATGGTATGGTACGGAATAGTAAATGGCTATTTAATTGGATCCTATTTTTTTGACGGAAACGTTGATAGACATACTTACTTAGAGTTCCTACGGGATCACCTGACGAAACTGTTAGAAGACATTGACTTAGCAACGCGAGTAAGAACGTGGTTTCAACATGATGGTGCTTCAGCGCATTTTTTACTCGTTGTACGTCAGTTTTTGAATGAAAACTACAATGGCAGGTGGATTAGACGACAGTTCGCAGTGGAATGGCCTGCTTGCTCCCTGGATCTGACATTGCCTGATTTTTATTTGTGGGGATACTTAAAAAATGTTGTTTATGCTCTAAAGCCCACGACCATAGACGATATGAGGCACATAATTCGAATAGCTTGTGAAACCATACCTTGAGCGGTGTTGCTTATCACTGTGGATAGTTTTGAAAGACGAATACGATTGTATATTGAAAACAACGGAGGAAACTTTGAACAGTTTATTCGTAGCTAATAAAATCAATTGTGGCAAACGTGAGAGGCAAGGGAACTCACGTTAAATAACCATCTCGAATGTGAGAGGCAAGGGGACTCATTTTAAATAAACACCCCAACCGTTAAGGGCAAGGGAACTCACATTAAACAAGCACCTTGAACGTGAGTCAACCCTTTAATAACGCTTCTCAATACTCTCTCAATAATCTCTCAATGATACCTCAATAACCCCTCAATAATGTCTCACTCAGAAAGCTACTTTTACTGCGACTGCTTCGTCAGAAAACGTGAAAATTATTATCTTACTTTTTACAATTCTCCCCTTAAATCGACCCTCGAAAGGTCACGAAAATAAACCTTTAAATATTCCGGACGAATAATTTTCCACATTCACCAAATCCGGTGTGAGAAATAGAAGTTTCCATTAAAAAGGTAAAGATGACCTTGAAATAACTTTGGGGGTGAGATGGGGGGTCATACGGACCCCATAAATATCCCATCATCTTAACGTACAATTTCGCTAGAATTCAAACCTGCGATGAAAAATGAGGGGTCACATTTAAAAAGTCAGGTTGACCTCGAAATGACTTTGGGGGTAGGAAGGAGATAATTTGGACCCCACACATATTACATGATTTAAACGTAGAATTTAACGCAGAATCCGAATCCGAAATAAAAAGTAAAGTTTCTTATTTAAAAAAACCATTGACCTTGAAATGACCTTAATCCATCATATTCAAGGACAAATTTAAGGTCGCCAAAATATGGCCCTCTTGATATTGAGCAACTTTTGTCTCAACTATTTTTCTGTACTATGCATAGAATTTGAGATATGGGGGTTCATAGATTAAAATGACTCAACCTGTATAATTGCTCTATTTGAATTATGGCGTTTATCAAATTTCTTAGAATAGATTTCAAGTTAATTTTGAAACATAAATTTCAAATATAAACTTTTTATGCATGTTAATAAGTTATTAACCGTTGAAACTTAATTCAGAAATATATTCACAAATAATTTTGTAATACACCATTGTAAAATCCAGTAAAATGAAGCCAAACACAGATACCAATTTCTTTTTTTTACCGTTAACAATGGAAGAAAGTTAGTTCTGAGCAGTTATAAAATTTTTCTATTTAAAAGGTTTAACAAAAAAAACATCAAAGTTAAATTGAATAAAGATCATGGTAGATCTACACCTGTGTTTGCAATTGTTAACAACTGGGTAAATCATTTTAAATGTGGCCGTACATCCATAAAAGATGAAATCGTTCGGGACGCCTTATGGATGTAGCTATTTGCAAAATGATTAACAAAATCCACAATAATTTAAAGTGAGCGACGAATCAAAGTGCGTGAAATAGTTGAGGCGACAAACATATCACAAGGTATAGTACACTCATCAATTTTGCATGAAAAATTGAGCGTGCTGAAAATTTTTGAAAGATGGATGCCGCATTTTCTCATACTAAAAAATAAATGCAATCGTGTAGTCGACTCTGAGGCTGTTTTGGCGCTTTTCCGTCGTAATCCTGAAATACGTTGATACTTAACTTTTGACGAAAGCTGAACACACTGCTATATTTCAAAGGCGAAGGAATAATAAAAATAATGGACTTTGGTGAACGGGCTAGAAGTAGACGAAGACGGTAAAATTATCTGACAAAGTGATGTTCTTGGTATTTTGGGATACACGTGATATCTCTGCATCGGTTACTTATAAGAAAGAAAGGTAATATCAGGAAAGTATCATGCATCGTTGATGCATCGGTTGATTGAAGGAATCAAGGAGAAACGTCTTCATTTGAAAAAGAAAAAGGTCTTCTTCCATCAAGAATATGTACGACTGCACACCTGGACAGTTTTAATGACCAAAATTATGGAATCAAAGTTTGAATTATTACAACATTCACCGTATTCTCTAGATTTGTCTCTCAATGACTTTTCTTATTTCTAAATTTGAAAAAATGACTTGTCGAATGATGTTTTACATCAAATTACGAGATTATTTCCCAAACAAATGTTTATTTTACGGAACTTCAAAATCTTACTTTTTGGATGGTTTACAAAATTTGGAAAACTGTACACAGCTAAAAGAAGATTACGTTGAAAAATAAATCTACCAAAAGAAATTTGTTTTCTATCTTTATCTAAGTACTTATTGAACGATGAATTCATAAACCAGGAGAAAGTAGGTATAGTTTGTATAATATGCACGAGTATACTACAACAGGAGGTTATTTAGCATTTAGAAGTAACTACTTCTATCAAAAGGTTATTACGTTTCTTGATGAACTATATGTAAAATCGATTACTTACCACGATAATCTAAATTATTTTGATGGCGATTTAGACTTTTACTCTTCCCTAATATTGTATTATTCTGTACTTTTCGTTTTTCCTTGTTTTTTTCTTCATCTTCTTCTCTAGGAACATTTACGATTTCAACGTGAGTGGTATTCATTTTAGAATTTTTCAACTGAATTATTGGGCCTTTGTATTTTAAATGATTCCCATTGACAACTTCTGTAAATGATTCACGAAAATGATCAATTTTGTTGTTTTTCTTTTTATTAATATTTTTTCCGTTTTTCAGCGACTTTTTATATGATAGTCGATTTTTTTTGTTTTTAATGGAAGATTCAGATAATGAATCTAGAAATTTTTTTGTATTACATGTATTTTTCTTTTTATCTGGATTTTTTTTCGCATTTGATAAAGATTTTTCATTTCCTTGTTGGAAAAAACCATCATTAGCAATATTTGATACGTTATTCACAAACGATAACTCCTTTATATTTTTATTTTTTAACATGTTCTGCTTATTGGATAGGTTAGGTCGTTCAATGACCATACCTTGATTATTTATACGTTTTTCGTCTCCTTCGATGATTCCGGCAAACATTTTCTCTAATTGAGATTCCACTTCATTAAAAAGAACCGATTTGTTTGATTTGTAACAATGTGAAATAGGTTCTCGAATAGAATAGTTAAAATTATCGCAAGATTTTCTTCGAATTTTAGGTATTGTTGTAGTCGTTCGTGTACAGCATTCACTATTTCTTCTTATTCTTTTAATAATTTTTATTTTTTCTGAAGATTGAACAAAAAATATGCTTCTTGTTTGATGTTTATTTTCTAATGCTCTTTCATTTATGATAGTAGAAGTAGTATTTGTATTGAAATTTTCTATTTTACCGGATAAAGTTATTTGTTGTTCATTTTTATTATATTTTTCAATATCAAGCTCTTTCCTCTTTTTGATATCTAATTCCGACTGTCTTGATTGCAATGATTTGTCAAGCAACGATTTCATTTCGTTATATTCTGTATTTTTATATAATGATTTGAGATTTTTTTTGTTTTCTAATTTTCTTTTACTTTCCTTTACTGTTTGACATCTGTTACACTATTTCTAGAATATTTTACTTAAATTTTCATTGATTATCACGTTAAATAGCAAACTATTATCGGAATACTTAATGGACATGCGCTTCTAGATTCCTTTTAACTCACCGTGTTCATTTCATTATTGTTCAAACCATCTGTGGAAGTAGTTTCAACATTTTTCATTTTCCCTATAAATGAAAGAAGATAAAGAATTAATTTATTTTTAAAGCAATACAATAATACTAGTTGAGTTACTACAAAGTAAATAGGAAAGGACATTATAGTAACATAGTCAATTTCATTTCATTCACCATCAATCGTAAATATTTTTTCTAAAATTTTAAGTTTATTTGCATATTAATTGATAGAAAGTAAAATGTAGCAGGAATTATATAAGAATATTCTTTTTAATATTTGACAAGTATCAATGATCATTTTTCAATAGCTTAAAGGTGTGTTAGTTAAGTGGACCAGCCGGTGTTTAATAATAAAACTTGAACGTTTCCTTTGTTAGTATATAAAAGTCATCCTAAGATATCGTCATGAAACTTTCTACATCTTGAAAGACTCCATATAAGCTTTTATTTTCATTGTTGAGAATACTGAAATTTTATTTAGCATCTCTAGAAAGTTTCTTTAATCATAATATCTTTTTTTTTCAGATTAACTTTACCACATCTTTCTGAACGTTACAACGAAAAAAATCATATTAGGAGGACACGTTATTTTTATTATTCTATTAAATGACTCAAACCGATTTTCAAAAAATATTTTTTTCATGTTTTCGACCAATTTAAAAAAAATAAACAGTTTACAATTTTGGAAAAACTGGTTGACAAATATGAAAAAATAATTTTTTTTTAAAGTCGGCTTCACTTATTCTATAGCACATATTCTAACGAAGATAATCAAATTTCCCAAACTAATTTCCGTTCATTCTAATATTCAAAAAGACGTAAAAAGTCAATTTTTTTACTACATAAGTTGTAACGATTAATGGAACCTTCTAGAGACTTTGAATATGATTTTAGTACTCATGGATGAGAAAATAAAAGCTCTTAGTGAGCCATTCAAGATGAAAAAGTTTTCGTGACGATATCTTTATTAGGCCGATTTTTATATGTTAATAAACAAAAGTTTTAATTTTAACTATATAACACCAACTGCTCCCCTTAAAGTTTACAATATAATATAATACAATGAAGTTTATTATACACTAATAGCTCATGAGTTAGTATGATCTTTCGTATGCAATAAAAGTGCATAAAGTAAAAATAAATTATTCTTATCATTTTGGTCCCTAGATACAAATTTGTGGTAGCTTGTTTGTTTAAGAAACAAGATGAAATTATCAACAAGTGAAACGTTATATTACTGAACTATGTTTTGTTTATTATTTATAAATTTGTAAGCTAGGCTATTACCAACCATTTTAACCTTATAAATAAAATATTATCTTTGATAGAAATCCTAACAGCATTACATTGGAAACAAAAAATTAATTCAATTTTTTGAAATAAAAGGAAAAAATGAAAACACAGAAGAGACAAACACACTGTACATAATACTAGTAACATTTAAATCACAGCCAATTTTTGTAAGTGGTGTTTTCTATAATGGACCTTTTAAAAATTTTCTTATTGAAATTGCTAATGGAGCATATACTCTTAAAGAATTCCAAAATAACAAAATTCAAATAGAAAAACGAGAATTTTTTCCCCGACAATAAAAGAATTAGAAAAGAGGAATATTAATTTACTGATTTTTATGCATTTAAAAAGAAAGAAAACAATCTATATTAAGCGGTATTAAAAAATCTTTCAGTTGATATTAATGAATTAAAAAGAGAAACTGAAACATATAGCCATAAATTAGTCAAAATATCAAATATTCAACATTGCAACGGTACTCGATTCGATCAATCGATACGTTCGCGATTCGGTAGTACTCGCGATGCTAGAGCGAACGTCTAACAAGGAAGGTACCCGAGGTGTACCTCACCGATTTTCTTGAAATTGTGATATGCTGTAGAACATCAAAAAATATTCGACGCGTATTTTTTTATACGTGCCCATAAGCCCATTTAAGGGGTGAAACCCACCCTTGAAGTTCACCCCTAAAAACAAATTTTTTTTAATTTCTCGAATACAATTCGTAATTTTTTACTGAAACAAAGTGGGTAACACTTGTTATTGAAAAGCACATATTTATGCATTGTTTTTAGTCATCAGACTCGTAACCCCCGTTTTTTATTAATGAAAAACTATATTTGATGACCATTTTTTTCACTATACACATTCCAAAATCTGTTAAATCTTGACAAAATTAATTTTTTTATGCACAATAATCAAAAATAAAGTTGACCTGTTCCGGCATTTTCAAAAAAAAAATCCCTTGAGGGGGTGAGCTACCCCTAACATTTACACTATTATATTTCATTATTCCATTACGATATCATGGTGTAAATCTCTTGGATACTATTAAAATTGTTAAGTAGTTGATGTAGTTTGAAATTTTCTGAAATCAGCCCTTACAAATGAATTCATCCCTAAAACTCAATCTCAAGTATTATTTTTTCATTACTTGAAAATACCCTAGGACTATTCAGTGGCGTAAAACGTGTAATAATATTAGTTCACATCCTTGGTATTGAATTAGAATTCTTCACCCCACTAATGTATCAACCCCTATTTTTCAATAAAAAAATGACACCCTTTTCCATATGAAAATACTAGTTTTTTGAGTTTTACGAAAAAAATTTTGGCAGTATGCACAATATTCAAATACGAAATCGACTGTTCTCACCTTAATAAAAATAACGTATAATAAGGGGTGTACCAGCCCCACAGGAGATATTGTCGTATCTTTATGATTTTATTCTTTTTCTATGGGACTTTCAAAAGTAATAAAAAATTAATGATTCAAAGCAAGAAGAACTAACTAATTATCGAATAAACGCATACGAAAAATAAACGTATAAACGCTTGGAAAACAAATTAAGAGAAGTGAACAGCTTAAAATAACAAGATAAGATTAAATTTATCATTTTCTTGTTGTTGTTGTCGAGATCGGACGGTGGGAAAAACCTCAACGGTTAAATTATCGTCTTGCTATGTTTTGGATAGATAAGACCTTTTTCGACGATGCGATCACACTCTTGAACTCACAATCAGCTCGCCAAAACAACACTCGAATACTCGATATTACCTCTCATCATCAGTCTTTAATCAGAGCTTCATCGAGCTCGTTTGAATCAGTATATTAATTGTGAGTGTAGTGTTTGTTGAATTTACAAGAAATTACATTGGAATCCAATAAATGTGCAACCAAATTTCAAACTTCAAATTTCATCAAAGTATAACATAGTATTTTGGAATTCGTACATATTAATTCTACCATATAATTTTTGGACAATACTTATTTCCTGATTGTAAGTAAAATTTCCTTTTGCGTAAAATTTCTTAACGCGGTAATTGATAGATATTGTATACATGCCCTCGCCATTTTTCAAAAAACGCACAGAAATTGAAAGTACTCTATTTTACAGCTCTTTACAAGCCCTATCTAAAGAAACTATAAAAAATTATTTTCATCATTTTTTTTACTCTACATTTTTGAATTAAATATTTTTCCGAAGAAAAAAGCTCAAAAATTTTCATACTCACATCGTATTTGACGAAAATAATTTTTTAATCAGTGATTTAGATATAGCTTATAAAGAGTTATAAAATGCAATACTTCATATTTTTATGTGGTCTTTTTCCAGAATTGGTGAGGGATCAAAGATGGACAAGAAATTTTGGAATTTTCAATATTCAATTATCGTTCGAAGAAATTAGAAATGAAATTGATACGTAATTGTCAGTGTAATGTTGATTTAAATGATATTAAAAATTATTGCCTGACTTTGTAAAAAAATATTCAAATTAATGCGCTTCGGATTTCATCATATAAAAAACAAATAATAATTATTATTTCTAGGTATTGGAAAAATGACTATTAATCCTATAAATGTTATACAATTATTATTATTATCTTTTCAAGCTATGAATATACAAGAAAGTCCCATTACTAAAGATGAAATTGCTTTGAAGGATAATATAGAAAAACTATTACTTGATTGTATAAATAACTTTGAGGATCCAGAATTCATTGTGGAATCTACATTAGCTTTTCAAGAACCATTTAAGGATACTGAAATGCATATTGTTGAAGATATTGATAAAATCTGGTCAGCGGATGTTGATGAACACTCACTAGTATGTACAGCGGATACAGAAGATCTATCTTGGGATTACAAACGAAAAGCTGTGGACTATTGGAGAAGCGGAGTTACGAAAAATCTCGCTCTGCAAACTGTGCAGCATAGATTTTGAAAAGTCCAATCAATTACACAATTGAAACGATGGGCGCATACTTTGAATAAAGGAGGCACTTATAAAGAAAAAATTGGAAGAATCAATAAATTTGTATTAGATAATTTTCAGTCGGCTTCCGATGCCGGTTATATAATTCACGATAGAGATTTACAAAAATGGGCATTAGAAGCTCAGAAAATCGTTGGACATGAAGATATAAGGTTTAAAGCGTCACGTCATTGGCTACAAAATTTTAAAAAGGCTCACAGAATAGTAAGCAGAAAGATAAATAAATTCGTAACAAAAAAGACTGTTGAAGGGAGAGAATATTTACAAAAAACAGCTGATGATTTTGTTTCAGATGTGAAAAAAATAATTAAAAGCAAAGGTTTGGAATCAATTTACAATTCAGATCAGAGTGGATTTCAAATTGAAATGCACTCGGGAAGAACACTAGCTATTGAAGGCGAAAAGGAAATTGAATGTCTTGTAGAATCTGTAAGTTCGACGACTCACAGTTACACAATTCAACCACTCATTTCAGGTGATAGGAGACTGCTTTCCCCATTATTCATTGTTTTAAAAGAAAGTAAAGGAACCTTTGGACTGGTAGTAGAATCCAAATTATTCAAGCCATCAAATATTTACGTGATGCCTTCCGCTTCTGGCAAACTGACTTCAGGTATGATATTTATTATTGATGATTACAGTTTTTAACTTATGTCATGTGAATAAAAATGAGATTTTTCAATGGTTACAGAACATTTCAAAACATGGCTGAAGGATGTGTATTTTCCCAATGTTGGGCATTCAAGTGTCGTATTAATTAA